AAACGCTATAACCACACCGGGTCAGCTGTCGGCAATTTTTGGTCACGCTATGTCGCCAAAGATGGCGGTCTGGCCGTTGTCATAACTGATAGCCCTGGGAACTAGTTTTGAACAGTATATAAAGAGCCCGTGTTGCTGTCTGGGAAAGTCCGGAATGAATTGAAAGCAGTATGCTGCAAAAATACGAAGAACGAGCTTTATTTTGATACTAAATTCAACGGAAAAAGTTAAATGTGTGAATTTTCCTTTGTCTTCGCTTTCGCCCCATCATGGTGCCGTAAGGAACTAATCTGAAAATGGCTAACTTCAGCTTCAAAAGGCTTTTTCGTTCTTCTGAATATAGCATGAAGTGTTGCAAAAATGGAAACTACAAACCTTCGGTAAAAAACGTATGTTTTTCGTTTTGGGGATTTCGCTTCACTTTTTCAGAAATATTGCTTTTTTTATGAGTGGTTTGTGTCAGACTCTGGCACGAACAGACCGGTACTCAAATGATTAAGACTTACTTTCTGAACCTTCAACACTAGTGATATGCCTCTCAAGCGACAGCAATATGACCACATTGCTGCCGGGCAATACACGAAGGCAAGGAAAAGCTTGCAGGAGGAGTTCGCCAGAGAGAAAGCCAGCCTTTCTCAGCTTTCAAAAGAGGTGAAAACACTTCAGCGAAAAGTTCAGAGACTGGATGATAAGGTAAACAAATTAAGAATGACTGCCTTCTGTTTGAAATGAAATTAATACGACTAGAATCCGCTCTCGCTACGGTATGATTTCCCTAACTTATTATAAAAGTATTCTTTGAAATCTATCGGTGATTATTTAGTCTATATGTTTCACTATTTAGTCTTATCAGCCCTTTATTAAAACACATCGACCTCATTTTGTAACATAATCCAGTAAGAAATTCTTCCAAGACATTCACAATACAAATAGACGTGCGGGTGAGGAGAAATCGGGTTTTGATCTTGTAAACACTGTTACGTGTTAAGTTTTGTTGTTGAAGGCCAAGCGAACCAAAATTGCCAAATTCAATATGAAAATGCACACTACTGCATGCAATTTAATATTTGGAATATAATTAACATATCTATATACACAAACACAGAATCTTTTAGCTCTGCAAGTTTTGACAGCAATGTTTTTGCGACATTTTATGAACAGACGTAAGGTGTAAAATGTGGAGATTTCTAAGCTTATGGAATATTTTCAGAAAAAAGGACTGACTGAGAGTCAACAAAAAGAAGTTCACAACCCAGAAAGTGAAATAAAAATATATTGTTATGTCATGTTTGTTTGAAAATAATAATTATAGGCAGGAACACGAGAAGTCAGGGTATTCTTTATGATACTGGGTAATTTCTCTTAGTTTTATGCTGAGATGATAACTGAAACATAATGTGCAATTGTGAATATACTGCAGGGATATTTTCTGGATTACAGTATTAGAGGTGGCCATCGTCTCAAGTGTATGACACCATTCTATCTGACAATACAGAATTAGAAGCTATGAAAAAACAACAGGGCATAATCGGTAGTCTCTTTTTCTAAACAATGACTCATGTACATCCACCAACTAACACTGTCTCACCTGAGACGTTAGAGCGTAGATGTAAAGAAACATTTGAAGCTGCCATGAAGATTCATGGAGGAACAATTTCTAATAAAAGACCTGCACTTGATGGTCTCTACCACACCATATCTAAAAAGTGCAAAACCAGTGTTCTAGGTGATTATGTATTATCTAACAGTAAGGTTATAAATTATATCATCAAGCAATGTAAAAAAAATCAGTTGGCAGAATTTGAATGTTCAAAAGATAATGTATCGCTTAGCATAGCTACTTACTATACATCTGGGGTAATGGGGAAAAGGAAATACCAAGCGGTGAGGCTAACATCATCAATGAAGTCTAGTGATGCAAAGAGGGGGGGTAAAACAGCTATCAAGTTTATGCCAAACTGTCCCATACCAAAACCTTTTACTTACAATTCTCTTGTGAATGAAATAAAAAAGATTGATGTAGAAAAGGTCTATTCCATGGAAGAAGAATTCTCTAAAGACATAGATGATGAAAATATTAATGGGTGCTTTAGAGACTTAAGAGAGTATTTGCCCTGACTAGCAAAATTTTATTTGAACATGCAAAGGAAACGCAAAGGTGCATTAAAATGGTTTGGAGAAACAGAGGGTAGGTTTCTTGTTGCATTTGGGGGGGATGGATGCCCTTTTGGTAAAAACGAATCTGCTTGTTCGTTCCTTATAAGCTTTCTTAATGTTGGAAAGAGAGTGGCATCCAGCAGAGACAATATTTTAGTCTTTGCGGGTAATGTAGAGGAGACCTCCCTTATTGTGAAAAAGTACATTAACTTTGTATGTAAACAAATCAAGGATTTAAAGGGATGTGAAAAGGCTGAAATATTCAGGCATGAATTTATTATATTGGTTGGGTTACCTGAGCAGCATCATGAACCTTGTTCTTACACTCCTAGCAAAAACGATTACATTCCTCAAAGGGTTTTTAATGACAGTAACTACTGCTACTGTGGAGTACATAAAGCTGATCCTACTGATAAGAGCTGCTGTTTATGTAGTGATCATCTCATGGCACTAATTCATAAAAGTGTGAAAGAAGGAAAAATTGTTGCAGGATTATCCTAGTTTCAGATAGTGTTCATACAATCAAACGAAGGTGAAGTGACATGAATTGTCAAATGAAGTCACCACATGGCGTGAACTGAATTAACATCTTCACGCCGAAAGATAAGGGTGATTCAGAAGGCTTCCAAACAAACTTTGAAACATTTCCTTTTTAACAAGCATCTGTCACAATCTGACAAATGTCAATTAGAGAACGCGTAAGAAAAAAATTCAGACAGACAATAATACTGGTATGGCAAACAAACTCAAGATTAAAGACTGTCACGACAATTTTTCTTTCAAAAACATTCAGTGATCTTACGGAAATTATTATTCACTTCCATTGATGATAAGTGTACGAAGAGTACCTCTGCTCAGACAGTAAATGGCAAAGAAAGTTATTGTAAGTAAACTCAACGATAAGTTTTGAAGTTGTGGGAGTTTGCTCGTTTGTTTGCTGCCATGGCGCGTGTAAATCAGCCATTTTTTGACAAAAACACTAAAAATCAAATGAGACACGTTAACAAGACCCATGGGGAATTTAATGCGGCTCTTTCTCCTTGAATTAATTCGGCTTTTTGTCGTGCAGTTACTGTACAAAGGGTCAAATTGAACTGACTTGCAAAGACTTCCCGAGAGAGTATTTGTCATGTTTTTAGAAGACTGAAAACTTTGCTCACCGTTTCACAACAACAAAAAAATTGTTTGAGAGAATTTAGATATCAAATGAATGAAAGTTCCATCGATTTATTTAATTGAACACGACGATTTCAATGTGACAACCGAAAATGACCAACAGTTTAACAAGGGTGACCACCAGAGTGAAGACTGGATAAGGCACCGTTCTCTCATTTACAGAAACTATACAAGAGACAGCAATTCTAGAGTTAGCCTCCACAGGAATACCACGAAGTGTTTAAGGTTTTCGACTAAACATCTCAGTGCTACACCATCATCCCCCCAGATGAACGGATGTATAAAAATTATATGCATGGCAACACGTAAGTAATACTTATCAAGAGGAAACTAGCGTTAGTGAAGTAGAAGCTCATTTACATAATGGATAGAGAGGGACACCTTTGGAAATGGAACTTTGAACAATCATCAAGACCCGCAGGATCCCGCGCGCAACGCGTCACGTAACAAAAACCAGTCAAAATGAGAACACTTCGTCCCAAAAATATTATTGGCCAACGTCATGTCTCTTGTGCCAAAGATCGAAGAAGTATCCGAGTTCGCTGTGCTTAATGATGTTGATTTGGCATGTATTACTGACACTTGGTTGAAAGATCGCATAGTTAACAATGTAGTAGAGATCCCTGGCTACTCCATCACTCGCCGGGACAGAGAAGAGGTTGAGCGCGGCGGGGATATTCTAAATACTTGCTGATCGATGAACTCAAATGTTGCGAAGAATAAGAAATTCTATGGGTCCATCTGAGGCCAAAGCGACTCCCCCGAGGGTACTCCTGCCTAGTTAGGGCAATTGTTTACCATCCTGATCCATCAGCTGAGAACGATAGCAGCATTCGGAACCACCTTTCTATTTCTCTGGCCCTAGCAGAGTCTATGTATCCGAACTGTGCATTAGTGGTCGGTGGAGATTTCAGTCGCCTGAACTTGCGGCTCGTGAATAACCATTACCATCTTCGGCAAATTGTGAAAGTTCCTACAAGGAAAAATGCTACTTTGGATCTCATTCTTACAGACTTTGCAGCTCAGGCGTAACTATTTCAAGTGACCTATCTTGGAACGCGCATATCGCAGAAGTGATAAAAAAAGGCAGCTGAGAGGCTCTATTTTCTCATCCAGCTTAAAACAGATGTTCCGACAGGTTAAACGTACCTTCATTGCTTTGAAGTCTTGCCACTCAATTTCTCTTGTTGAAAGGGACGAAATCTAGTGGAAAGCCTCTGCTAGGTTGTTGCTAGAGCATGTTTCAGAGCATGTTTCTTAATATGAAATTATTTCATTCTTTCGCTGCTCTCTCATCTTAAGGAGCGGCTAAAAATTTGTTTTTCATGCAAACACTAGACTAACTACATTTATCACGGTGTACATTACTGAGAACAATAAAAAAAAACTACTGTTGTTTACCTTTGTTTTCTCTGTAAAAGAATAAGATAATCAATTACCGCAGCTTACTTAAAGTTGTGGTCCATTTCTATTTTGGATTGGAATAATATTTTACAAGGAAACAAACTACGCAAGTTGCGTGCTATTCTCTGTTTATTTGTTATTGGAACCGTCCTGGAATGATCTCATGACAAAGCCTTTAAAACCGCATTTGCTTGGCAGTTTTCAAACCAATCTAATCCTGGCGGTTGGAGTTGCAGTACCATTTCCCTCTTAATCATAAAGTCATGATATCCTTCATAGAAAAAGGATTTCTTTCCGCGCTTTTGGTGTGCTTGATGCAAAACGGCGTCATCGAAGGTATTTTTAATTTTCAATATTCGATTTGTATTCAAACGATTCCTCTCGAAAGGTCCCGAAACCTCTCAAACTATCTTCACTGACTATCGGTTAAAAACTTTTACGTTGGACTTAATTATCAAACGGTACTTTGATGTATCTTAAAGCTCTTGTGATCAGTGTTGCCTTCAATAATCGTTACGTTTTTTAGAGAATAAGTAAAATACGCGCCCCACCCCTGAATTTAAGGCCCATTCACTTGGCGTCGCTAATGCTGAGACATTTCATAGAGCTGAGGCCTGGCTATACAACGAAAAATATTAGGTAGCGTCGAAGGATTCAGATTCTCAGAGCAATATCTCAAAGTCAGTTTTAGTCCTCTCAAGATTATCACTTACCATAAGCAAGCTTTATTCAAATGAAAGAATGCTGCTGAAAAATAAGAAAAAAACCTCAAAAGTACACGTTTCCTTTATAGTTCACAATTGCTTGGTTCTGTACTCGTTTCATTCATCATCGACTGCCTTGTAACATTCAACGCGTTTTTGAATAAGTATGGAGAGTGGGAATAGAAAACATCCCGAAGCAGGTCACGTAGCCATTATACTCCACTGATACTTCATGTATTCAAGGTTAACTCTTCAATCCTTTGACATCCATTGTTTCGAGTATTGTCTCTTGTTTTAACGTTGCTCTCTCATCTCATGGCATATTGACCTTCATTTCCTTTTAGAGATGAGATGGGATGAGATGTGTAGTGTGCTAGTCACTGCACTCGTAATATTCTCTAATTTTACTCATATTTCCGATTAAAAGAAAAAAAACAACTGCTTTAGTCGAGTGCAAGACCAGATTACAGTTTTAGCATGTGATGTGTAGTGTGCTAGTCACTGCACTTGTAACGTTCTCTCGTTTTAGTCATATTTCCGATAAAAAAACAACTGTTTCAATCGAGCGCAAGACCCCATTTCAGTTTTAGCATAATCTAGAAAAAATGTCGTTGGCTTTCGTAATTGACTGACTTTTGTAGTTTTATTTTATATTTGCTTTCATTTAACTCGGCGAAAATGAATTAACAAAACAAATCTATGGAGAAAACAAACAACAGGCAAACTTGCTTTCCATCACCCTTTCCACTTCTGGCATAGATTAGTTTTCTGAAGATACATTGAGTCACGTTCCAAAGCCTCACCACAAACAAAATTTGAGATACCAATCTAGGCTAGACCTAGTCAAGGGTCAGGCCCGATAATTGAAAAAATACCGAGTTTTCAACTCCCACATTTCATTGTTTAAACGCATTGATTTGATTTTTTTCGAGCCTTCTATTTTAAGTGTAATCCCTTCAACACAGCACTCGCATTTTTGCTAATTCTGATTTTAAAAAAATGCTCTTTCCGCCATTTTAGGCGTTCAGAGGGGTAAGATTGACATGCAGGTGAGAAATGGTGACCTAACTTGCCAGTACGTGTCATTCAGCAGCAAATTCTCAGGAAATGGAACTCCCGTCAGAGTATTTGCTTCAATTAATCATGGAAATAAATCATCAGGGGTCCATGATTTAGCTTTCATTTGGATCGAAGATGTTACAACGAGCCGTTTCAAGACCTGTCTCGTACAAAGTGGCAAAAACTTAGAAAGTAACAGCACTATGATTGATTGGTTTGCATTCCAAGGATCACAAACGGGAGTATCTCATGGCCAAGCTATTTTTAGTTTTTTCACAACTGGATCACAATGCAATCGGGTTAAATTCACTCAGGTATAGATAACTAAAGCATTATAGTCGCTGAGTTCATAATCTAGTCTCTCAACGTCTTGTGATGTCCCCTTCCGCTGAAAACACCTTTCGTCCTCCCTTTCTTACCCAGTTCTCTCTGTTTCTTCTGGAATTTCTCTACTTCTTCTGTCTGTGTTTCTCATCAAGTTTTTTGTTTCTTAAGTATTCCTATCAAAAGTATTTCCAATCTTTGCCTTTGCAGTATTTCTTTCTTCGTTTCTGTTATCTTTGTGCACCCATCTATTTTTCTTTTTTATTTCTTTTAAATAAGCCGTTTACAATGATACCCAAAATTCACGTGACAGTACAGCATGGTACCCTAAACCAAGCTCAGGACGCCATGAATATTTGGATTGCAAACGTCTCCACGAATCATTTTGAAGTTTGTCTACAGGAATCGACGACATTCGACGGCCTTCACGATAAACTCTCAGTGGTATGTTGAACATAGCAATTAAAAAACAGTTATCACACTGTCAGGAAGTCTATGATATTTATTTTCCTTTTTGCAGAACTGGATGGCCTACGAACATTGCCCACTATCCTGGGAGGCAAAGGAGTCCTCAGCCGTAAGTTTTTCCGAAAACGAGGTACCATCTACAAGAGACAGTTACGCCTTGTGTAAGGTATGAATTACCCCACGTTAAACTGCTATCAACTTCATCACATAAAAAATAATCGAAATTATCTCTGCCAGATAAATCAGGAGCTGAGACCACAAGCGTAATTACCGGAAATTTTTCGATATGTACCATCACGTACGTCATACATGGTCATCTAACTCCAAACGGAGAAAAATAGAAATATATCAAATTTAGGAGCTCTACCGCTTATTATAAAATTATGAAGATGAAAGCGAACTTTTAAAAGGTTTTAAGACCTTATGGAATGTGTTCCCCCCCTCCCCCAATAGATTCCACAATAAATCCTCCAATAGCAAACCTTCAGTAACAGTCAGCTTTTCTGGGGGAACCCTTCATCATTTAATTCAAGCATTGCCATTCTTCGGGAGACGGAGAAGTGGCAACACTGAACGGCCTTTACATGGAAAAATGTGAAGCAACAAGCTTAAAAAGAATTAGGCATAAAAATATATAATTTGTGCCAACTTCCATTTTTCAGAATGTCACTTTTTCGATTCCATTTTACTCTGCACCTTTGTTACTTACAACTGTCATCAATGGTGACGGTAACAATGCAAACAACGCTTGCTCAGTGAAAGGGCCTATAATCACTTGGCTGGAGGTGAGATGGTAAAATATTCAGACACTTATATCATTAGACCTTATATGGAAACCAGGAATTAGAAGATCAAAACAATTTGGGTTTCATCCAAAGACAGAAATGAGTAAAACAAAAACAGAAACCAAAATTTGCGAAGTAAAAAATCAGGCAACCGCTACTACATGGTTTTTGGAGGGTTTTTACTTGGTACATGGGACAGCCAGGACTCAAGTTAAAATCTCATTAAATAGTTTAAAAAACAATTGTATATGAATTGTCAAAATTAAATTAAATTAAAACAGAACTAAGTTTCTTTGTAATCTAAATCAGCCCAGAGAGTGATGTGGTAGGTCTCTTCTGATAATATGACAAGTTTTACAAGACCACTATCGTGCAATTTTTCAACATTTTTGGTGAAACTTAAGGAGGACGACAGTAATTGAGTTATACCCACGTAGCGGTCAGAAGACTTGCTTTGACCTTATGTTTTTACCACATTTTTTCGCCTTTCTTTCTTTAAAGGAAGTGACTACCTCTTACTTTCGAGTGTGTATAAAGGATAGTGCCGGATATGATGGTCAGAGAAGCAAAGTACTTGTTGATTATTTGCTTTTCGGAGGTAAAATTTTATAATATAAATATCATTAAATTTACCAACTGAAATACATTTAGCTGATTTCGACGATGTTAGCCATCACAAAAGGCATTAGGGTTTGGTTTCGCGCAAAACTCTTAATAAACTCTCATCGAGTAAGTGTTCGTTAGCAAAGAATTCCAAGAATTACACAAAACAAATTTTCAGAAGATGATAGTTATTTTAGATAAAGATAACAATTAGATCAAGGAAACCAATTAGTTTCAATTTAGAACACGTTATCTTCGATTACTCTTTTTACTGTGACACCTTAAATTGTGTGTACTTCAGTTTGCTGTAGTTGTAGAAACCAATCCTCTTCCTAGCCCCAGTCCGCGCGGCCATCTATATAGCTTTGAATTTTCGCGCGGATCTTGCAAATAAGAAAGGTCTGAGCTCGCGTAAAGGTATTCGCAAGAACATTCTTCAGCAGTATTTCAAAAATCGTCAGGTAGATTGCTCTTTCGTCGAGTGTCCCGTGCTCCTTATGTTAGTAGTATTGCCTTGGTTGTACATAGTTCTTGTTATTTGTATTTCCTATGTTATTTCCGATCTCGTAATTAGTCGTTCCGTTCTTGATGTACTATGTTCGTAATACTTTACTTAGAACCCACTGGTAATGGCGTGGAAATTAAACTCCTCTTGAGCTTATCGCTGGTGCGTTGGTTATAGTAGGTATCAAGTAAATTTCAAACATTCATTTTCGGAGCTGCGAAAGACTGGGACAACCGATTGGCGCATTGAAAAAAAGGAAATGTTTCGTCTATTTTCAAATGCTAACTCTACCGGTACCGTTATGTACTGAAGCTTTTGTATTCAGCTTTTGCTCTAAACAAATGAATATGTCAATTGCAGATCTCGATCCTTGTTCGAATGCAAGTTGCAAGTATCACAGCCATTGTGTATCCTTGTCTCCGAACCAATTTACTTGTGCTTGCGAAGGCAGTTGTCCATCGTATGAGGAACAGGTCTGCGCATCTAACGGTCGCACATTTACCAACTTGTGCCTTCTCAAGCAAGAAATTTGTAGAACACGTGGGAATTACACTAAGTATCATCCTGGAAGCTGTATAGGTACATTCTTATTCAAATCTAAAACCTTTAAATCGGCTTAGTATTTGTTTTAAGGCCATTTATTTTAGAGCCTACTCAATTTCTTTTTCTTAAATGTCCCACGCTCAATAAAAGTATTTAGTATCTTAATTTAAAAATCTTGCTTTGTTGGACCCTGACCACCAAGCGTACACCAACAAGGAGAATATTTTGCGCGTCTGCCGTTGCTCGCAAACTTTTCGAGGAGAGACTACCCGGGCTTTTACTTAAGGAAACCATCCTGATAGCTAGCTTTACTTTTACATTTTAATAGAAATGGTATAATGGACTGTTAAATTATTGCCCTTAAAAAAACTTACGATGGTGATCTGAGCCATGACTTAATATATATATATATATATATATTTTTTTTTTTTTTAACCGGAGGGCTCAAAATTTTGCATCTTCCCTATTCTAATAATAATTGTGTACTGTAGGTTTCCCTCTTCAGAAAGGAAGACATCAATTCGGGAACGTTCCTTCTTGGGCAGAAGACCAGTGTGAGGTCATCCAGTTTAAACCTTTCATATTTTACCCTGACCAGAAAATATACGTTCAACTTACTGTCAATCATGTGAACTATAGTGACTCCACTGTGGTACATGAAGCCACAACACCCTGGGTTGAGAGTGTCAACAGCACTCAGTTCACAGCTTGTGTCACTCGAGCTGGGAGGAATGATTACCCCTCGGATAGCTTTGCCACAGTTGATTGGGTCGCTTATCAGGGTGCTCCGTCTGGGGGAGTGGCAGGCGAGAAATGGTTCTCGAGATGGTGGACTGGAACTAGCTGTCAAAAGGTCACCTTTGCCAAGGTAATGCTATTTTAATACTTCAGTAGTACTTACCCTCAAAACTCCAAAAAAGAAAAAAGAAAAACTTGACTTTCAAAGCTTTTAAAGCATTGAAAATGCTCCTCACGTGCACGCAAAGTTGGTTACTCTTCTCTTAGCTGTTGGAAAACTACGAGAAGGGAAGGAAAAGAGATGTAAGCTGAAAAAGCTCATTGATACTCGCTGGAAATTCAAATTACCTTTCTTTAAGTTTGACTTGGAAAGGACTTGAATTTCACTTGGTCTCTTGAAAAGACTGCTTGAAAACATTAGAAAATGTAAAACATATAGAATTTGTCGAATTCCTGAAACTGTGAACGATACTTTAGTGCCCGAAAAGAGTCTAAACTTCTTGGCTTGTAGTTTTATAAAATGCTATCGAATCCCTTCGTTACTTTCATCCAACTTTTTGGTTGCATCCTGTACATTTCTTAGGGAAAATTTTCTCAGCCACCGACGATTTTTGCAACAGCCGAGCACCACAGATTCCGCCTTAAGCACGATGCCACCAGTTTGTGGATGGAAGATGTCTCCGTAAATTCCTTCAAGATTTGTCTTCGTGAGCTGCAGAATTTTGCAGGGGTACATGACGACATATCGGTGGTGAGTATTTTTACGTTTTAAGACATGCAATTATTAGGGGCTCACTGTTTACAAAGAACTCGACGTCTTGGTGTGATCAATTGTGAGGCAACTTTCAACACAAGGACCTCAGCACGAATAAATATAATCGAGCTACCGACCATCATTGCATTAGTTGCACTTCACAGAGGAATGCGATCGCCTGAAGAGGCTTCTCTGAAACTTGAATATGCACCGCGCTTTATCACAAATTTAAAAGCCGCTTGGGAAAGAATTCCATTAACCTCTTACTGTTCTTAAACAGAGTATGAATACTAAAGAAAGAGAGGGAGTGTAATACATCCTCTCTTGTCCCAAAAGTAAATTCTTGTTTTCGCCATTGTTTTCTTTCATCAAGCAACTCTACATGTAATTAAGTATGCGGTTGCACATAATAAACCATTAAATTATACAGAAATCTTTCACTTCCACTTTCATTACCCTATTCTTTTATCCATCTTTGTGCATTGGTTTTTTTTTTTTATTTAGAACTGGCTTGCGTTCGAGTCCCTTCACAGACCATTGTTTTCAGAACACAGTGATGTAAACTTTCAGAATAACCTTTCGCCATCAGAGATTTATAATTTTGCCTTCTGTAAGGTGAGTTCAACACTGAGTGATTTGGAAAAACATGTATGCTAGCAGTAATATGTTTCTCTGTTTGTACATATTGTTTTTGTTTTGGTGCGTATTCAGTAATCTTCGAGAGTTTTTATTGCTTTTGCAGCTTTATTAATTGTCATTGTCTCGTTGGGATCATGCAAAGCATCTTGTATCAAGTAGGACGACTCAGTTTCCTAGAGGCAAGCTCCAATAACAAGATGTCTTATTTCATTCCATAGGACGTGAGTTTCAAGCGAAGCTACGAAAAATCACCAACGGTGTTGGTAACAGCCAAACATTCTATCAAAGGAGGAAAGGTAGCCGCAGAGTGCAATGGAATTGTGAGCTGGATTGAGGTAATCCAGAGGGCTGTCATAAGGGAAAAAAGATTTCACCATCCCAAAAATCATTGAGGCTAGATATTCATGTTTCAAGCGTGGAAGAATAGAGGCTGATAAAGTAATAAAAATTTTTAATTGACGCCATTTTCAGATGAGGCTTTCAATAACAGTATCACACTCTTACAATTATCTGCAGAAAAAAGAGGGAAAAATCGCAAGCGTGTACTACAGCTACCTTTATGAGACTATGATTTCATGTTTGGCCCTTCATTATGACATATTTAGCCCCTACTGAAACAGAAACAGAACTCAATTTTCTCCAGCTCTAATTTTCTCACATTTTGTTTGTTTGTTTGTTTTTTTTTTCAAGTTTATCACCCCCTCTAGATTCCGCATTTGCGTGAAGGAACTGTTCATCCAGCATTACGATCCGTTGTTGGTATCCTATGCAGTGCTATCAGGTTAGTGAATATTTCTACCCTTATTCAAAAGGCATTCTTGGCAACGTTACTATTCATAACAGGTTTTAGGCCCTTAATACTCCAAACTAACATAAATTAGGGTTTAAATGTACAAAAACAATCAAAATTAATAGCAGCTCACGTGTAAAATAGCAATGATACGGGTGCAAGAGGTGACTTTTGACATTCTTCTCGCTCTGCGGTGAACTTTATTAACCAAACATAGCCCAATCATGACGAAAACGTTTAGGAAAGCGTCGATGAAACATTATCGCATGTCACTTTTCAGTTGTGGGTGTCTGCAGAATAACGAATAAGTCTTGATGATTTTATTACGGCTGTTATATGCCATGGATTACTTCAGATAGAGGCGTCGAGACAATTCCATCATGATTCTCGATCTCAGAAATACGCGGAAAGTAGTATGCAGTTGATATTCATTTCATGTTGATGATTGATTTGTGCAGGACGCCTAAGAAAGGTGCATAATACAGTTTTAGAGTCTTAAATCGTACCAGTGAGGCCATTATAGTAATTGTGCACGTCAGACTCTTGGACAATAGACCCGGATCTCTTTCTATAAAAAATCTCACTCCCAATCATTCATTTTCCTCCTCTTATCTCAAAAGATGTTTGTGAGGAGAAATGGAAGTATTTCAATGGATATTGTTACAGGAAAGTATCTTCTTGTGATTCGTGGACCAACAGCCAGGGTACATGCGCAGCCCTGGGGGCTAATCTTCCCAGTATCCACAGTCAAGAAGAGAATGTTTATGTTCAAAGTCTACATGGCGGGGAGCATTCTTGGCTGGGGCTCTCTGATATAAATACTGAAGGGAAATTTGTGTGGAGCGATGGAACATCGTATGACTTCCATTACTGGGCGGAACACCAGCCAAACAACTTTCACGATGAGGACTGTATTCATACGCTTGGTTTCCTTCAAGATCATCGATACGAATGGAACGATGTTAACTGCAGTGACTGTCACAGATTCACTTGTAAGAAAGGTAAGACATAATTTTAGGGCCAAATTGAATCTAGCAACAGTGATGAAAAATTAACAACATTTTTTTAAATCTTTCACTCTACATACCATCTCTCCCTGTGACTGATAAGGACAGACATTTTTTTTTATCTTCAAAAAGGGAACTGCGCGACGACTTAAACTTCTGCGTCAGATAATCGACCGCCGCTGAATTGTCGATTTCTTTGAGCAATTCCTGAAGAACAGCATGATCTCATAGAAAAATGAAAAAAAAAATCCCTTAACGTATTTTGTCCAGTGAAACCATGGAGATTACACAGCTTGATTTCTAGCTTTTCGTCACAGACTTCAACGAATGTAACGATTTCTTCAACGATTGTCCGGTGAATACCTCTTGTGTGAATAGTGATGGTTCATACGCATGTCGATGTCCTATTGGTTTTCGTCTAGAGGGGAAAAATTGCTCAGGTTTGTCAAATTATAAACCTTCATTTAGAAGAAACAATAGTGTGGTCTAGAATAAAATTAACACGTAAAACCGTAATACCGTGATTGGTTGTCAAACCATTTTGTTTTGGTCTAAAATTGAAAATAATATTAATGCTAGTTCACTTTCGTAGTTTCGTGATAAAAATTTATTACATTTCAGATTCACGAGGAATCGTTTGAAAGATTTTTTCAAAACATTATACTGATCAGTCGAGCCATGACATGTATTTGAATTTTTCATCACTAATTTAAAATTTATTTTAAATATTACACATATTATAAAAATAATATTGTTTTTCATTAAAACAGATGTAGACGAATGCAGTTCAGGGTCATTTTCCTGCCATGCAAAAGCTAAGTGTGTCAATACTCCTGGTTCCTACTCTTGCATATGTTCAGCAGGATACAAAGGAGATGGAAAGATAAATTGTAACATACCAAGTAAGTAAGAAATCACCTCGAAGGGTCAACATATTTCCTATCTTCCTGGTACTAACGAAAAAAAAGAAGAAGAAAAAATACCTCCCGAACTCTCGATACCTCAAGGAATTGTAAAGGAAGGTGTGGCAGGGAGGCTTTAGCTTTCGGAATCGAGTAACATGCAATACAGAACACACTCGCCGAGCAAATGAACACTTCTTTTCGACCTGTTTATCAGTCTACTTTCAAATGCTTAACGTTCTGGATTTTCAATCAACAGCTAACTGTGCAGGGCTGTACAAATCTGGTAAAATAACCAGCGGTGTTTATACAATCGACCCTGATGGCTCTGGTGCCTTTGATGTATACTGTGACCAAACAACAGCCGGTGGGGGTTGGGTAGTGTTTCAAAAAAGACAGGATGGCTCGGTAAATTTCTACCGCGGCTGGATCGACTACAAGAATGGCTTTGGTAATCTGAATGGTGAGTTTTGGCTGGGACTGGATAAGATTCACCGCCTTACAAAAACAAAGAATAAGCTACGGGTAGATCTGATGGACACCACAGGCAGCACTGCTTACGCGGAGTACAACATGTTTTCAGTTAGCAGTGAGAGGACTAAGTACAAGCTTAGCCTTGGGACCTACTCAGGTAGGAGAAGAATGTTCGACACCATTTGATAGAGGCTTAAGTGCTTCGTCGTGAAATTTTGCATGTGAAACTAAACGTGTTCGAAAAATATTTTTTCACTTTAAAGATGCATTAAAATATGGTAGGGTACAATTGTCGTTTATTCATAAATATTGGTCTTTGTGCTCGATGTCCTAAGTATCGCTCGCGGCTGCAGTGCACCCGAAAGAGACGAATAATAGCGAAATTTAGACGAAAAAAGCACAAATTCCACACCACTGCATCGCCAACCTACAAATAAACTTCAATTGCTCTTAAAATATCTTTTCATTTAAATTAACTCATGGCATCCGTAGCCTTTTTAGATTGAGTGAGTTCAGGTTAACTTGAGTATATTATTGAGGGAATAAAAAAGACGACAGATTAGCGAAATATGATAACAAGTAATATGACCTGTGCAAGTAATGAGCTTGGAACTGATAAGGGCAGAAAAATTCTATGTCGTGGTCCCCAATGTTAAGGTGACTCCTCAGTATGCAATCCAGAGACAAATTGATGCTGATATCATGGATTTTACTGTCTCCGCGTCCATTACTGTTGATAGGACTACCACATCAACTCCATCGTTATTTGCATTTAAGATCTTGTCTACAAACAATATTAAATCGCTTATTCATAACTCAGCATTGAAGTCCTGCCCACTCGACCCTATGCCCTCTCGCTTGGTCAGCAAATGCGATACTCTTCTTCCAGTCGTTACCATGATCAAAAATTGAATCATTAGAAGCCGGTCACTTTCTCGAGCGCTGAGTGGAAGGAGGCGCTAGCATGTCCATTACTCAAGAAGTCCGGTCTCGATATCACATTGAAGAATTTGAGACCTGTAAGCAATAAGGCTTTTTTTATCGAAGCTCGTCGAGAAAGCAGCTTTACATCGGCTACACGATCACATGGTTAACATGAACTTTTGACCGACTACGCAATCGCCTTAAAGAGAGAACAACAGCATTTAACTGCACTCCTAAAAGTCGAAAAGCAAAATCCTACCTAAAATGAATAAGCAGCTTCCAACTCTTCTCGAGCTTTTGACATTGTGATGCGCAATTGAATATTTTACATTGATAATTATACAGTCAATAAATACCATATTTTTATATAATAAGTATTAGTAATATATTATTAGTAGTAGTATTGTTATTAGTAGCATTATTATCATCATTATTAGTATGATTACTATCATTATTTTTATTATCATACATCATTATCAGGCAGCAACTGCTTCAGTTGCCTTCACTCAGCTAGCCTGGCTAATGAAGGGATTTCGCATTCCGGCCCGCTCTGTAAGTAAAAAAGGGAGTTAATATTGATAATGCTAAATTCGCTTTTTCCCGTGCAATTCAGCCATCATCGAACTCTTCTAACACTTTTTGGGTGGCTTTTTCAGGAACTGCCGGCGATTCTCTTTCTTATCATCGTGGCTATCCCTTTTCAACCAAAGATCAGGATAATGACGTAGATAGTATTAACTGTGCTGTGACTTTCAAAGGAGCGTGGTGGTACAAGAACTGTCATTTCTCTAACCTGAATGGACTGTATCATCATGGGAAGCACTCATCTTCTGGCGATGGAGTCCATTGGTATCACTGGAAGGGATATAACTACTCCGTCAAGAGAGCTGAAATGAAAATTAGACCAGCCTGAGTTTCATTTTAGAACGTCCTATTTTGTTTCCATTTCAACGTTGTTTATTGTAAATTTCTTTTTTATTAACCACAATTCACTGAAACAGAGTTATCGTAACAATGAAAACGATTCTGTATCGTAAAGCAAAAAATCACGAGAATGAGCGGGTCATATTTGTCCATATTGATTTAGCGGAGAGACTTCAACTCATTTAAAAGAAAATGATCGCAATGGGTTCATACGTATGATAGAACGCTTTCAATATTTGTCACTCTGTCCGGCAAGGTAAATTAATCTCTGTTTTGTTCCATCAGCCTCCAACATATAAGAGAATAAATCACTGACTCAGCCATCGGCTGAATCAGTACGCAAAGATATGTGGATTAAATACCTGTATGCGAATAGTTGATAATAATGTAATGTAGCCGATAACAATTCATGATAGACGACAGGAAGATATGTAATTCAAATAAAGTCTAAGCTGAGTATTAAAGGCTAGGAAATTTGTTAAAAATTGCGTTTGGTGCACACTATATTCGATAGTTTGAATGTTTTCAGCATTTCGCATTGCTAGATAGAACTGGCTGTGAATTGCTCCTGGCATGCCGCTAAGCTTAGAGACAAAGACCGACACAGTCATATGAATATGTGAATGATATGAAAAATTACTCTTTCCTTTAGTAGAGAAATTTAATAACGATAGGGAAATCATGAACGAAAGGATGTGTGTTTTAAGCTAGTTTGGAAAGTTAGTAAGGGCTACGATTTCTTTCATTACAGCACTTAGATAACTTTTCGATATTCCGATAGCTGCAATGAAACAACCTTCATTTTGACCCTCAGCTCTGACTTCTGAATGACTCACTCATTACCACGTCGTGCAGAAGGAAGGCCTCAGCAGGAGCATGGCTTTCAAACGACGCACGAGATGAATAATAGAAAACAGATCCATTCCTAGCCACTATTCAGACCAAAGGTGTACTTTCAATATTCTTACATTTCAATCTGCTAATTACTTAGTAAAAAATCTTCCCTTTCTAGTCGAGGACGAGAGAATTTTTCAGTCACTGAAACCAGTGAAGTTAATAATGGGCGCGTGGAGCGGTATAACAGGAAAAAAACTCTCGCAATTATTTCAATGACACACACAACACGTTGTGTCAAAATGGTTTACATCAGCGTTTTCACCAGTCCATAATGACTTCAAGTTATCTACAGTTAGGCCGCAGCCAGAATAAAAAACAAGTACAATGACTTCATTTTTGTCCGACTTTTGCTGCAGTTTGCTGTTCTTAGTGTGATGAGTCAAATATCTGCTGAGCAGGAAACAGTGCTAATGGCACTCCAGTTAGTTCCTCGCCCACAAAGCATTGTAATAACGTCTACTAGAGCCTCTCTTTAGGCACGGCGAACAAGAAGATCGAAACACTTCCTCCGAAAATGAAGAACCAGCTTCCATACTTTCAAAATGATATCAGTATCATCAAAGAAAGAAACAACACTTTATCGCGAGGTATAGATACACAATCGATTATCATTTCTTTTCCTTTCCATTTGTCTATAACTGCCACTTAGATAATAATGGAAAGCCTATGGATTTTAACCTTTTTTGATCATGACTTCCCTTTTATATTTCTAATGAACTCGCAGAAACTCTCCTTAGAGAAATGTAAAAGAAACGTCCAGAAATGCAAAACGACATTGCTGCTATCAAAGAAACAAGACGCTTGCAGAAACTCAAGACAACTCTGATAAAATTATTCTTTTTCATAATTCCAAAAAATTTTCTTTTCGTTTTCCGTTAATTGCAAGATCAAGATGCTTGTCGCGTTACCTGCAAAGGTTTAAGTTGGACAGGCTCTTGCAGAAATCTGTCAATTTAGATAGGGTTGCTTTCGCTTAAATCCAAAGATTAATTTACATTTTCTTCCAGCATTTAATAAGAATTGAGCTAAGCTTCACAAATCTGGCAAAACAAGCAGCGGTGTTTATACAATAGACCCTGATCTGCTATGACCAAAACACAGCCCGTCCGGTAGAGGGGGAGGGGGTGCTGGACAGTGTTTCAGAAGAGACTGGATGGCTCGGTTGATTTCCACCGTAGCTGGACTGATAACAAGAATGGGTTTGGTAACCTTTGGTTGTTTTGGCTGGGACTGGAAAGGATACACCGTCTGACAACAGTGAAAAACAAGCTCCGTGAGGATCTTGTGGCCTTCAAGTGAAACACCGCATTTGTACTTTCCAATGTACTTTCCAGTGAGAGGATTAAGTACAAGCTCAGCCTCGGAAAATACACAGGTAATTACAATGGAGAAAATAGAAAAAAAAAATTAAAAAATCATATTCAAAAATATGATTATTTTTATTGTGTGCCAATATCTAAGTTACCTAAGATTAAAGTATCTAACGTCTAGTTTCGATGACAACTTATACAACTTATAATCATACGAAAGGATGAGCAAAAACAATGAGGCCAACTGTAATTCGGAAATGGCCAATTGAATCTCAATATCAAGTCTAACCTATAAATAAACGTAAGGGCTGTAACCAATAGTGTGGTATTTAAAATTTATCATTTTATCAAATTTTGATCAACAAATTTTGATACAGATTAATTTTGTATACAAATTTAATTTTGATACAAATTTTTAATAGATAGCAAATTTTGATGGAGAGCCAAATCACAGGCTTGATGAAACTGAGTCCCGAAAGGTTATTGGGCCAAAAGAACTGATAAAACTAGGGGAAAAAAGTCTTGTTCAAGACTCTCTCAAGTAAGATCCAAACCAATTCGAAGGTGAAGAAGAAAAGGCCCCCATGGTGTAATGGTTAGCACTCTGGACTTTGAATTCAGCGATCCGAGTTCAAATCTCGGTGGGACCTTGAACACCTCTGTAGTGCATCTTTACAACAATAACAAACAACAACCCATTTCATTTACCCAGGAGCCCATTTGCCCCATAACATATCAATGCAACAACAGATATAAATTTTGATCGATAGTTTATGTGTAAGGGACCGGCAGCAGAATTAACCACAGGCTTGATGAAACTGAGTCCCAGAAGGTTATTAGGCCAAAAGAATTAATAATACTAGGGGAAAATGTCCTGTTCAAGACCCTTTCAAAGTAAGATCCAAACCAATTTGAAGGTGAAGGAGAAAAGGTCCCATGGTTAGCACTCTATACTTTGAATCCAACGATCCGAGCACACTTCTCGTAGACATTTTTATTTTCTATACCCTAGAAAGCATACTGTACCTCTCAAAAGGTTCGGTAGGGAATTTTGCATTGTAGTTGTCTCTACCGTCAAAAAATAAGTTTGTTCGCTATCAGAGATGGGGTTTTGGTATTTCATGAAAATAGTTAATGTCCTCATTATACCCCAAGAAAATATTTAAAAGGTATTTCAACCAAATAGGTCTTATTTATAATTGAAAATTCACCAAATATTGGCAGCAAATGGTTATTTTGGAGTCTATTAACACCCCTACTATTCAAATCATGCCGAGTTAAAGTTACCAATTTCATCAAACGCCTTTTGGGTCAGACAAAATTAATATGAAGCCTAGTTGCATCCTTGAACGAAATCTCAACTGTATCAGATTCATAGCAAAGGTAGCTGTACTGTTTAAGTCTAAGATTTTAAAATTTGACATTGTTTGGCTGAATCTTTATGTAGTCTTTGTAGTGGTAGTAGTATAGGAAAATGGGGCTTTTTGCGAAAGTGACTTTTTAGCAAGATATTCCCACTGCACTAGAGGCTAAAATTTTTGCAACAAAATGTCGAACCTTTTTAGTGTAGAACACGTGACCACTAGAGTATTTGAAAAGTAGAGAAACAGACTTCGCAAATAAGCGCTCTTATTCGTTCACTCGTCGAGCAAAAAAAAAGGAAGAAATTTATGATCCTTTACCAATTTTGGATTATTTTATATATTTATATTTAGTAATTCTAGTGCTCGAAATGGTTATATCTCATTGCGCAGGCTTCTTTTCGAACGGACTAGAGTGTTCGTTTTTTTAGGTTTCATAGACGCACAAAATAGTGATTCTTTGAAATTGTTATGTAAAGATTTGCAGACTCTCTGTGAGGCCAAGTTACTTTTAAGAGTCCTCAAAAGAAATCCTTCCCCTGTCCTCAAAAGAAATGATTTAACAGCCGTCTCACCGATCGTTAAAAAGTATGCACAAAACTTTAATTCTCCTTCCTTAAATTATCGGTCTTGAGGAAGGACGAACAAGAAATTCCGAAAAAACTTTACTTCTCGAATGTCTTTTTTTCAAGTTTTCCATTTGCTTCTGTTTTTTTTTCTATCACTATTACTGTTCCTGCTATTTAAAGAGGCAGTATTTAACTCCGTTTTAAGAAAGTTCAAGAATAACACCCCACGGCAAACGACCAACCTTTTGGGCTGCTACTTTCCACTGTTTTACTCTCTAGTGTAAAAAGTATGCATCAAAAGTAACAGGAGAGTTTTTGCAGCACGAAAGAGGAGTAATTTCATAAAACTCTTGCTCAGGCTGACTTTTAACAATACTTCCTATTTTAACAAATATTTTTTTTAAAAATAAAACACCTGTCAATGCAATGAATATTAATCCTGCCAACCGTATAGTGTCGAGTCGAAATAAATTGACCAGCCGATACATGTTTTAATATAAAATTGGAGTTGATCTAGAGTTAACTTGCCTCTTTAAGTCTTTGAGAGGTACGATTACTCCTCATTTCTACTTTTTTTCTACACAATTTATATGGGAGTTTTAAAGAGTCTTCATGTCATACAGGAACTCGTCCGTGCGAGTTTATTATTGGACCACCAATTAGATGTACGTTTGTAATTATGCTGTAGGTAGAATACAAACCCCTTTTTAATTTCCTATAATACTTGTCTGTTTCTGCAGCACTAAAATTGTAAAGACAAACCATTTGAGTGATGAATATCGTTTTTTCGATTAAGTGTACTCATATCTCTCTTTCATTAGCATTTTTTGTTGTTGTTTTGGATGGATACAA